TATCTAAACACCATCAAACTATAGTGCATAAAAATCACAAAAATTCAATAAAAAATAAAATTAAAACTTAAAAAATTCAAACGAAATGTGAAGACTCAGCTGTGACACCAGCAGCTCCTTTTGGTCTCCGTTGCCTCTGTGGCCCCAGCTGCCATGGAACTTTCTGTGTAGTCCATCCTGGCCTGAATCTCAGAAATTACCTGCCTCTGCGTCCTAGAGTGCTGGGATTAAAGCATGCACCACAAGGCCAGGTGGCCAGCAGCGTTCTTACCAGCACCCTCTGTGCTGAGAGTTGGGCATTACTTGGGAATGACTTGATATAAGTTACCTCCATTCCTTTATTTAAAATTATGATATCTACTCCAGTGGCTTTTATCCCTATGAATAATCACCAGTAAAGTTGCATTATGTCTTGTCTTCTAGGCAATACAGCTAAAGTATACATTGAGATTCAGGATGAAAATGATCACCCCCCAGTGTTTCAGAAGAAATTCTACATTGGAGGTGTGTCTGAAGATGCAAGGATGTTTGCATCTGTGCTCAGAGTGAAGGTATGAGAAAGGAAATTATGGAACAAAACTCCATTGAGTGCAAAGAGTCAGCCTTTTCCAGATAAGTTATGATATCATAGTTTGTGTCCATGATGTCTATGTTCATCTCAAAGTCACAAAAGCTAGAAACCTAGAGATTGTATTAGTTTTGCTTCTGAATGTGCTAAAATACGCTGAAAAAGGCAACTTAAAGGAGAAGGGTTTATTTTGGCTCAAAGTTCCAGTTCTTCTCCATTTAGAATGATGCTGGCTGTGGGTTTGTTGTGTGGTCTTAATTATGTTGAGGTGTGTTTGCTCCAGTCCAATTCGTATATGGATATTTAACATGAATGCATATTGGCTTTCATCAAAGGCTTTTCTTCATCTACTGCTTAAAGCCCATTTATATGATTTATTACATTTACTGACTTCTGTGTATTGAATCATTTGTGCATCTCTGGAATAAAACTGACTTGATAATGATGAATGATCTTTTTGATGTGTCTGTATGCGACTTGTATTTTGTTGAGAATTTTTGCATCTATGATCTTTAATGTTATGGGCCTACAATTTTCTTTTTTGGTTATGCCTTTTCCTATTTTGGTATAAGAATAAGTTTGGCATCATAGTATATGTTTTTAAAATATTCCCTTACAGTGTTCTAGATCTTTAAGTGTTTGTTGTAATAGTTCTCTTTTGTCTCTGATTTTGTTGATTTGGTTTTTGTTGTTGTTGTTTAAATATTTTATTTATTGCTTTTATTTTATTTGTATGCGTGTATTGCCTGCATGTAGGTAAGTGCACCCATGTCATGCAATGCCCTCAGAAGAAAAAAGAGGCTGTTGGATCCCCTGCAACTGGAGTATGGAAGGTTGTTAGCTGCCATGTGGGTGCTGGGATTCGAACCTGGGTCTTTTTGTCTCTGATTTTGTTGATTTGGTTTTTGTTGTTGTTGTTTAAATATTTTATTTATTGCTTTTATTTTATTTGTATGCGTGTATTGCCTGCATGTAGGTAAGTGCACCCATGTCATGCAATGCCCTCAGAAGAAAAAAGAGGCTGTTGGATCCCCTGCAACTGGAGTATGGAAGGTTGTTAGCTGCCATGTGGGGCTGGGAATCAAACCCAGGTTCTCTGCAAGACCAGCCAGTGCTCTTACTCACTGAGCCATCTCTCCAGCCCCAAGGGGATATGTTTTTAAAGAGCATTTTGTAGGCTGGAGAGACGGCTCAGTGGTTAAGAGCACTGCCTGCTCTTGCAGAGAACCCAGGTTCAGTTCCTACAAGAACTCCAGTTCCAGGGGACCCGACACCCTTTTCTGACCTTTGTGGACATTGCATGACACAGGTGCACTTAACATATCTGCAAGCAGTACACTCATACACATAAAAGTAAAATCCCCTGACCTACTTCCTCCAGCTAAGCTCCACATCTTAGTAAGGCTTTAGCTATGAACTCATTAGTGGATTAACCTTTGAAGAAGTTGGCATTCTCATGATCCAATCATCTCAATAGCACCACCAGCTGAGAATCAGCCTTCAATACGTGAGATTCTGGAGACATTTTTATATCCAAGCATAGCAAGAATCAGTCTCAAGCGCTGCCAAATCAAATATCTGCTTTACTTAATTTTTACCCGAAGAGCAAGGTTAATGCAATAGGTGCCTCTCACGATTGCTGCCCTTGTGTTTGCTGACCGGGTGGGACCCCGAGTGCTTGCCTTGACACTCTTCTTATTGCTTCTTTCCTTGTTCTTTATTACTGAGTAAATGAATGGACTTCAGGCAAAATGTAAAAGTTATTTGTTGGACCTCCTGCTACTGTCAGAGTGATAGACAAAGGCTTAAGGTCTGGGTATATGGAGAGGGGGAAAGAATCAAAAGGTCTTTCTTGGATTTTTCTTAGACCTGCTGGCTTGTGGCTGAAGACCCAGAGATACGACTTGGCGCACCTGGAGAATGCTCCAGCTGGGATCAACAGTTATATAAATAACTGGTCACATCTTCTTAACTATAAAAAAAAGGTATGGCATTAATAGATGAAATTGTAGAATTTCCATATGGCTTAGAGGCATGGAAGGTATTTTTAAAATCACTCTTCAAAATCACAAATTGAATGGTAAAATGACTAAGCCTAAATAAAAGTTAAGTATTTATCTTTAACAAAGGAAGTTGCAATGACTCAGCAATACTTCTGGGGCGTGTGTGTGTGTGTGTCTCTTTCCCCCTGACTATGATAGACAGTTTTGCTGGATAAAGTATTCTGAGTTGGCATCTAGATCATTTAGAACTTGGAATACCTTGCTGTAGGCTCTTCTGGGTTTTATAGTATGCACTGAAGAGTCACCTGTAATTATGATATGTTTTCCTTTATATTTAACTTGCTGTTTTTCTCTAGTAGCTTTCAGTATCTTCACTTTGTTCTGCACATTTAGTGGTTTTACTATGATATGCTGTGAGGAGTTTCTTCTTGGGCCCTATCTAACTGGTATTTTGTGTGCTTCTTGCATCTGTATAGGTATGTCTTTCCATATTTAGGTAAGTTTTCTTCTGAAATCCTGATGAAGATCTGGTCCATGCCATTGACCTGAGATTTTTCTTTATTTCATCCTGAGTTTTCTTTAGTATTTCTATCTTTTGGGGGGGTGACTTCACTTTTTAAATATTAAATTGTCTTTGTCACGTCATTCATTCACATATTTTTATTTTTTGAGCTTCAGTCGGGAGTTTATGACTTTCCTCTTTGGCTTCTTTGAGTTGTTTGTTCTCTAAATGTGTTGAATTCTTTGATCATGTTTATGACTGGTTTTTGTTTTTTTTTTTTCAATTTTGTGTCCTGGAGTTGGAGTTCCTCTAGGTAGTTGTTATTGGAGAACACTTCTATAGGACTGGAGGGCTAATGGGAACAAGATAGGCTAGTTCTGACTAGCTAGCAGAGAAGATGTGAGCCCTGGATTTGCAGGATCGGGGCTGGTCCCAAGGCATGAGGGTGGTGACCTGGTGACCTGGTGTGACAGGATCTGGCTGGCTTACTTACCGAAGTTAAAGTTAATCTCCCCCTTTTTTGGAGTCAGGGTCTCCCTGTAACCCCAGGTTACCTGGAACTCATTATGTATACTAGACTGACCTCAATCTCACAGACATCCATCTGTCTCTGCCTCCAAAGTGTGTGACATCACACCCAAATATTAGCAAAGTTTTATGCAGTCGTGGACTTCTTAAATTGATTACTTTCCTGTGACTGTGATAAAAACAACTTAAGGAAGTTTATTTTGACTTACATTTCCAGAGGGGTAGATGCCCATTATGGCAAGGAAGGCATGGTGGCAAAAACAGGAAGCTGGGTGATCACATCCTTATCCACATCCAGGAAATAGAGTGAACTGGAAGTAGGGTGGGCTATGAAAACTCAAAGCCCCTCTTTAGCGACATACTTCCTCCTGCAAGGCTCTTGAATTACTTATCTTTTGCTGTGATAAGGCACCATGACAAAGGCAGCTTATGGAAGGAAGAGTTTATTTTAGGATTTGGATCCAGTTAGATATGAGTCCATCATGTTCAAAGCCTACTGCCTGTGATATGCTTCTGCCAGCTGGGCTAAAATTCCAAGTTCCATGACCCTTCCCAGAGATTGACAACAATTGACCAAGAGTTCAAATGCCTGAGCCTATGAGAGACATTTCTCATTCAAAACACCACAGGTCTACCACCTGAAAGTTCCATAGTCTCCCCACAGCAGCACCACCAGTTGGGAACGAAGGATTCAAATACATCAGCCCAGGAAAACATTTCTTATACAAACCACCACAGTACCTGATGAAGTAATCCAACTAGAACACACATTCCACAGTGGATTCAGAGGAAGGAACATCTGCAGTTAGTGAAAGAATGTTTTTCTATAGTACAGAGAAATTTAGACTGGCACTAAGAAGTGGTGAGATCTCAAAGTGGAGCTTCTGAAAAAAGGATGGTCTAAGTGGAGGTTAGCAAGCAAAGGAAAAGCACTGTTGACAGAGGGTATGGGACTGAGGACCTGATGGGAGAGACTTTATTGGCTAACATTTTTAATGGCTGCCTTTAGCTTGGAACCTAGGACTCTTCCTTTTTTTCTATTAGTACAGAAATGAGTTAAGTAGTTCTCAAGTCATAGTTAGAACAGGAAAATATTAAAAAATAGCACTGA